GGCCGGTGGTGTGTCCCCGGGGTCGGGGCCCGGCTCCACTCCCAGCTCTGCGTCCCGGGGCCTGCCTGCGCCTCCTCCGTGGAGCGTCTCGCTGTGCTCTTCGAGCGGCTGAGCTTCCTGACGCGAGTCGCAGTGAGGTCGGCCGCCAGACTTCTTCGGAAGTGGAACGCCGTCGGGGAACTCAGCCCCGTCAGCGGTCGCCACGGGACGTGGAGTGAATCGATTTAGCGTTTGCCGGAGCCAGTGAACGCTTTGATTCCGGAGCGATTGTCGGTGCAAGGAGTTTGTTTTTCATCTGCAGAGTCAAGTGAATGCTGACGGCCTGCTGACGGCCTGCCGAGGTCTTACAGCTGCTTGAGGGGGCTTGGAGGCCGGGAGAGGCATGCCCCAAGAGATGAGAGGACACGACGAGACTTGCTTGCTGGCGGTCTTGTGCGGGCGCCCTTAGTGCGTTCAGCTTTCTGAGGAGGCCTGATGCGTTGTAGAAGGAGAAAAGCAGCCTGGGGAAGGAGCACGCGAGTAGTAGCCTGAGCTGGCTGCTTCAGCGTCCGGGGGGTGGTGTGCAGTGTCGGTCATCCACGAGACTGGAAACGTTGCGGTCCTGAGACTGGCGTTGTACACCTTATAGGCCTTCCAGTGAGCCTTTAGGTGCCTTTTGTGCCTGCTATTTTACACCCTAAGTAGCTTATGGGAGCCCGGCGTTACAAAGCCATATGTCTCCAGAGTTGTTTCCTACCCCAAGTTTAAGACGTGCGGTATAGTGCTCAGGCTTGTGAGTGAGCAAAAGCGTCTGTGGACAGAGTCTCTAGCTTCTTGATGGCCGTTTAAAGACAGCCTGTCTCATCATCAAAGCTTGTGAGGGCCTTCTCGCTTCGTTTTCAGTGTAATATATTGACGTAAGTTTGCTTTTTCTGTAAAAACGACTCAACAGCCTGTAATGGGGATTGTCCACATATGTTGGAGTCCCAAAGGAAATGTTTTTTAAAAAGGTTCACAAGCCGGGCTCGGCAGCTCAGCCTGTCATCCCGCGCCTTTGGGAGGCTGAGGTGAGCGGACGGCCTGAGCCCGCGGGCTCGAGACCCGCCTGGGCGGCGAAACCTCATCTCTACAATAAATCCAAAAATCAGCCGGGCGTGGCGGCGCGGGCCTGTAGTTCCGGCCACTCGGAAGGCGGAGGCGGAAGGATCGCCGGCCGGCAGGTCGAGGCTGCGGGGGCCGGGAGCGGCCGCTGCACTCCAGTCTGGGCGACAGGGTGAGACTCCGACTCAAAAAAAAAAAAAAAGGTTCACTATGAATTTGCTGGGTTGGTGTCATAGAGGTGGAACTTCCTTGGGGCAGTTGATGTGTTTCTGCCAAGGGTATTGCAGAAGGACTAGTTTTGGCTTTGCGGATGGGGCTGCTATTATGTAAAGCAAGTTAGGATTTATGCTTCAAGTGGGCATAATCCGAGGTGAATTACTCTTTATACTACACCAGAGAGAGCGGTCACTGCTTGTGCGTTGCTAGTTAAAAGCTGAAAGGAGCAAATAATTACCGGGCTTATGAAATAAATTGAATGTCGTTAGTATTCCTGAGCAAAGACTTATGTGTGTGCTAGTAATGGGAAAAATAATGAGGTAGATGTCAAAAGAACCGAACTGTAGGACCCAGGTATATGATTAACTGAGTATCCTCAGGAAGCCCATTTAACTTGTATCTGCGTTTTTTCGACATTCCCATGTGTCACCCTTTCAACTCTGTTGTGTTAATCACTGCTTCCAGAGAGCGTTGTTTAGAAAATAAGTTTACTACTTTGAGGTCACTGTTGATTAAAGGATGAGGTTCAAACTCCTTTGTTTGATATCAGAGACACTCCCCACACGGAATGCCCTCTTGTCCCCTCTCTGCATATCAGAGTAGCACCCATCTTTTGGCTTCTGTTGAAGTCCTTCTTTCTCGGAGTCTTTCTTTACCTTCCATAACCATAGGTGTTCATTTTTTTCCTGACAGACCACTGCCTTTTTCCCTCCAGCGTTATTGAAGTATGAATGACAGCAAATGTGTATATGTGAGGTGTACAGTGTAATGTGATGAGAACCATATACACTGGTGATAACCTCTGTCAGGCTAATTGACAGATCCTCCGTCCTTTCTTTTGTATGTGTGGTGAGAACATGTAAGATCTACTCTCAGCAGATTTCAAGTATGCAGTACGTTGTTATTAGTTATTAATTAGAGTCACCATGCTGTAGTTGTAGACCTCTAGAACTTATTTTACATCCTGTAAATGAAAGTTTGTACATTTGACCAAAATCCCACTCCCCCCCACCTCCCAGACCCTGGCAACCATTATTCTAGTCTCTGTTTCTGTGAGTTTGCCTTCTTTAGAGCCCATGTATGAGATCCTGCAGTCTTTCTGTGTCTAGTTATTTTACTTAGCATGTCCTTAATGTTCATTCATGTTGTCGCAAGTGGTAGGATTTCCTACATTTTTAAAGGCTGAATAATATTTGTGTGTGTGTGTGTGTGTGTCTCACATTTTCTTTATCCATTCATCTGTTGACAGATACTTAGGTTGCTTCCCTGTCTCAGTTATTTTGAATAATGGGGCTGCAGTGACTATGAGAGTTACCTCATTGAGATGCTGATTTCAGGTTCTTTGGATTATTGCCCAGAAGTGGGATTGCTAGGTCATATGGTAGCTCTATTTTTGTTTTTTGAGGAACCTTGTGTTTTCCATAATGGCTGTACCAATTTACAATCCCACCAACACTGTCTAGGGGCTCCGTTTTCTTTACATCTTTGGCAGCACTTGTTATTATTTGACTTTTTGATAATAGCTATCCTAGTAGGTGTGAGATGATATCTTACCACGGGTTTGACTTGTGTTTCTCTGATGATTACTGATATTGTTGGGCCTGTTTGCCGTTTGTGTGTCATCTTTGGTAAAATGGCTATTCAGATTCTTGGCCCATTTAAAAATTTTTAATCAGATTATTTTGTTTTTTCTACTGAGGTGTATGAGTTCTTTACATATCTTGGATATTAGCCCCCATCAGGTGCACAGTTTGCAAATATTTCCTCCCATTTCATAGGTTGTCTTGTTGTTTCCTTTGCTGTGCAGTACATTTTTTTTTTTTTTTTTTGAGTTGGAGTTTCACTCTGTCGCCCAGACTGGAGTGCAGTGGCCACTCCCGGCCACCACAGCCTCGACCTGCTGGGCTCCTGGGCTCCGGCGATCCTTCCGCCTCAGCCTTTGGAGTAGCTGGAATTACAGGCATGCGCTACCACGCCCAGCTGATTTTTTGATTTATTGTAAAGATGAGGTCTTGCCGCCCAGGCGGGTCTCGAACCCGTGGGCTCAGGCAGTCCACTCACCTCAGCCTCCCAAAGGTGCGGGATTACAGGCTAGAGCCCGGCTGGTTTCTGATCTTACATTTAAGTCTGTAATTCATCTTGACTTGATTTTTGTGTCGAGTGTAAGATAAGAGTACAGTTTCATTCTTTTGCATGTGAATCTCCAGTTTTCCAATACCATTTATGGTATTGAAAAATCAATGTTGAAAAGACTGTCTTTTCTCCATTTTGTGTTCTTGACACCTTTGTCAAAGATTACCTGAGTGTATATGCATGTGTGAGTTTACTTCTGGGCTCTATTCTGTTCCATTGGTCTGTATCTCTTTTTATGCCAGTATCATACTGGCATAAAAAGTGTATTTTGATTACTATAGCTTTGTAATATACTTTGAAATCAGTTAGTGTGATACTTCCAGTTTTGTTCTTTCTCAAGATTGCTTTGGTTGTTCATGGTCTTTTGTGGGTTCATATGAATTTTAGGATTGTTTTCTGTTTCTGTGGGGAAAAATAGTTGGAATTTTGATAGAGATTGCATTGAATCTGTAAATTGCTTTGAGTAGTATGAACATTTTAACACTGTTAACTTTATTTACTAAGCCATGAACATGGGATATCTTTCCATTTATTTGTGTCCTCAGTTTCTTTCATCAGTGTCTTACGGTTTTCAGTGTCTCTTTGTTGGTTAAATTTATTCAAAATTTTGGCTTTTTGATGCTACTATAAATGGGATTATTTTTAAAATTTTATTTATTTTTTATTTTTATTTTGGAATTGTGGGGTACAAGTGGGGATTACTACATAAGTAGGCTGCATGCAGGTGAGATTTGGGCTTGTAACTGGCCCTCTCTACCCCGATAGTGTGCACACAGAGTGTGCAGGTTATACACGTGTTGTCACGTGCCCCACTCCGTTCCCTAGCAGTGTCCAGCGTCTGCCTGTCTCACCTTTGTGCTAACTGACTGGTGTTCAAGGCCAGCTCATAAGTGAGAACATGCAGTGTTTGGTTCTCTGTTTCTGTGACAGCTCACTTAGTATGGTGCTCTGCAGCCGTTTCCAAGTTGCTGTGATGGCCATGGTTTTTTCTTTATGGCTATGTAATATTCCATTGGGTGTACGTGCCACATTTTCTTTATGCAGTACACTTTTGATGGGCATCTGGGTTGGATCCCTCTTTTTGCTGTTGTGAACTATTTTCTTAATATCCTTTTTGGATAATTTTTAGTGTATAGAAAAGCAACTGATTTTTGTATATTGATTTTATATCCTGCAACTTTACTGAAATTTTTTGGTAGTTTTAATGGGTTTTTTTGGTGGCATTGTTAGGGTTTTGTAACTATTACAGATGAAATTGCCTTCCTGATTTCTTTTTTAGCTGGTACATCATTGTCATTATTTGAGTTGGAATCTCACTCTTGGCTAGACTGCAGGGCAGTGGCAGAGTCATAGCTCACTGCAACCCCAAACTCCTGGGCTCAGGCAGTCCTCCCTCCTTAGCCTGCCAGGTAGCTGGGACTACAGGCATACATCACCACAGCTGGCTAATTTTTTTTTTTTTTACTTTTTTTGTAGAGATGAGGTCTTGCTGTGTTGCCCAGGCTGGTCTTGAACTCCTGGGCTCAAGCAGTTTTCCTACCTCAGCCTCCCAAAGTGCTGGAATTACAGATGTGAGTCACTGTGACTGGCACTAGGTCATTACTGATGTATATAAATGCTACTCATTTTTGTATGTTGATTTTGCATTCTGCAACCTTTATGAATTTGTTTAACATATCTAAGAGTTTTTGATGGAGTCTTTAGGTTTTTCTAAATATTAAGATCATGTCAGCAACGGTACCTGCATAATGAACATTTGTATACCTAAAGCTGAATTGTACCCCACATCTTTAAAATTAAAAAAAAATTTTTAAAAAAGAAAGCAAGGGAAAAAAAAGAACTTGTCATCTGCAAAGAGGTACAATCTGACTTCCCATTTTTCAATTAGGATGTCTTATATTTCCTACTCTTGCTTGATTGCTGTGGCTAAGGACTTCCAATACTGTGTTAAATAGTACTGGTGAAAATGGGCATCCTTGTCTTTTCCTAGTTCTTAGAGAAAGAGTTTTCATCTTTTCCCCATTCAGGATAGTGTTAGCTATGGGTTTGTCATATATGGCCTTTATTATGTGGAGTTATTTTCCTTCTATGCCAAGTTAGCTGAGAGTTTTATCATGAAGGGATGCTAACTTTTATAAAATGATTTTTCTGTCTGTTGATTATATAGTTTTTTTCCTTGACTTTGTTGACATGATGTGGCTCATTTATTGATTTCTGTATGTTGAACCATTTATGCATCTGTTGGATAAATTCCACTTATCATGGTGTATTATCTTTTTTATGTGCTTTTAGATTTGGCTTTCTAGTATTTTGTTGAGGATTTTTGCATTTATGTTCATCAGG